CTCCGGCTTCCTCCTCCACCTCGGCCTCCTCTGCCTCCTCCTGCGCCGCGGCGGCCGCCGCCGCCGCCGCCGCAGCGCTGGCCGGTCTCTCGGCCCTGCCCGTGGCGCAGCTGCCAGTGTTCGCGCCTCTGGCCGCCGCCGCCGTCGCCGCGGAGCCGCTGCCCTCCAAGGACCTGTGCCTCGGCGCCGTCTCGGGCCCGGGGCCCTCCAAGTGCGGAGGCGGAGGCGGCGGCGGCGTCGGGGATGTCCGGGGCGCCCCGCGCTTCCGCTGCAGCGCAGAGGAGCTGGACTATTACCTGTACGGCCAGCAGCGCATGGAGATCATCCCGCTCAACCAGCACACCAGCGACCCCAACAACCGTACGTAGCAGCAGCCCGCGCGCTCTCTTTCGGGGCGCTGGCTCCGTCGAGCGCGGGTGCCGGTCCGGGAGGCAGGTCGGATGAAGGGGACACCGGCTTGTGGGCTTTCCAGGCCGCGGGCCCGTACCTCTCAGACCACTGTAGCCAAAGTTTTCTGGGTTAGAGAAGGAAGGAGAACGGTTGGGACGGCCGGGTGACACCTCTGGGTTACCTCTTCCCCCTCCTCCCATTCCCTGCTTCCCTGCTCTGAATCTTTAAGACCCGAGTTGCTCGCGGACCGGGGAGTACAGATCACAGCCCTCCCGCGGCATACTGCGCCTCGCGCGGGGCGGGTACTAGCAGCGCGCGATGGGAGTGTCCGGGGACCGGCCCGGCCTGGCCTTAGAGGGGACAGGGCAGGGACTGTCAGCGGTCCTGGGGAGCGTGGATTCCAGAGCTAATTTCTCCTTCTCGCTATCTTACCTCTGGGGTTAACTGCGTCAGCTCATTTTCGGACCGCGGGGTTGTCGGGGGACCGGCCGGGAGCTGCTTGCTGGCCCGGCCTCGCTGGAGTAGGAGTTTTGGATGACACTGGGTCAGTCTCTCCCTGAAGGCGGGCATTATTCTTAGGTTTACTATTTATTTTAGAGAAGAAGGAAAAGAAAAAGAATGCCAGTTGCTTAGTGAGAAAACATTTCCGACTTCAGGGCAGGGTCGTTCCCTGCGGATCCCGCATTCTCCGTGCACCCTGGACCCTGCAAACGTTTACAGTCCGTAGCCACGCTTGTCGGCTTAACGTATTTTTTTTAAATGAGGGTAACAGTAATTTAGTATAAGAAGCTTGCTCTTCTTTTCCCGAAATAAATGACAAAATGCCTAAATTAACATCAATTTTCTTCTAGCTTCCGTTCCTGTATTCACAGTTTCAAACTCTTGATCCCAAGTGTAGTTCCATTTTCAGGTTTTGAACCAAAACTCTAAATGAAGATCAAGGATGTGTCATTTATTTTTTATATCCAATTCTTTTTGGTAATTTCAGAAGTTATGCTATGTTTACACTTACTGTGTTAAGATAAATGCTAAGTATACTTCCAGAGACCCCAGGAGAGAACATTAAAGCAGGTCAAGAGTTAGGTTGAAAGCAATACGGGATTTGAAACAGCGCTCAGCTTCTTTCTTCTCTTTCCTTCATCTAGCTTCTGTATGAGGAAAGTTAATTGTAAATGTATATGATCATTCTATTTTGAACAAGTTCCTTCTTGCAGAATGTCTACTAATCCGTGAGCTTCTTAATTCGTTGTAAAAGCAAAATAACTACAGGTTGTAGTTATTTAAAGGACTCCCAAATGTATTACTTTGATTAAAAACACTGAGCATGACCCTAGTGATTGAGGTGTATTAATCTTTTCATAATGGTTGGAGATAATTGTTCTAATGGAGATTATTATTAGTAAAAAGAGTAGTTGTATTTACTTTTTTCCTTTCTAGAGTCTGAGGGTAAAGTATTTGGTTTAAAATGAGGGTTTCAACTCAGATTTGCTCTGCAGTTAAGAAAATTCCTATATTTCAGAGTTCCAGAAAATTTTATAAAACTATGTTGTCTTAATGGATTTCAAAAAATACTTATCTCCTACTGAATTTCTTGATTGTGTTATTATCAAAGCAGTTCTTTAAAAATGTAAAATAAAAAGATAAGAAATGCTTTCATAAAAGGTATTTCTTACCCCTAAGTGAAGTGTAGTCACTGTGGACTGAGAGTGCTTCATCAAACTTGCAGTCTTTCTTCCGAATTAAATTAGTGCTGGAAAAGACACCAGCAGTGCACCCCAAAGCCCCGGCTGTGCGCTGAGCTCCACGTGTTGTGCACAGTGCAATCTTGAGGTTCAATACATTTTCACCAGAGAAAAACCTAGACTAATCAGAGAAAGAATTGGGACAGATTCCTAATTAATATGTGGCTATTGAACCAGTTTATTGTCTAGGTACCCTTTTTCGTGGCTGGAGGAAATGAATTATGATTTATTCAAATTATTCCTATTGTGGTAATCTTCTGATATCTCCTTTTGAGTCGACTGGACTGCTTCAGTGTGCAAAGTGCAGGGGCAAGGACAGGAGAGAAAGGAAGTCAGATTGTCTCATTAGAGTTACACTTCACATTGCTGTCTAATTAAAGGGCAACTGAGAAAGAAAATAGAAAGCTGAGGTAGCTCTCCACGTAATGCTGGGAGACTAGGTCTGCCGTGCTTCCAGGAACTTCTCTGGGCAAGAGGAGGCATTCATTTGAAACCGTGAGATGTGTTTTACAAAGATGAAGTGAGAAGCGATTGAGTTTAATCTAACTAGGGGATCAGAACAACTCAGAAATGCAAGCAGTGCGAAACTGTTTTTTCCCTTGGCAGGGAAAGTTGATATATCACTTGAAAGATGGTGAATAACAGCTTCTCCCCATTCCCAGGTTGTATGTGGGTTGGGGGTGGGGTGAGAGGCAGGCAGAAGGGAAGCACCTATTAATTTATCAGGCACAGATCATCCTAGTTTTCCTTTTAGTCTATTGCCCTTTCCTTCTAAAAGAATTCTGTGAAGTGACCACTCAGCATTGTTTCGTTTTATTACTTTGTATTTAAAAAGGTATTGAGTCGTATTCTCTTTTTCTTACAAGGCAAAGAAAGGGGCCTCCGTACTTGTCCTTTTAGAAGAGTAACTTTTTGCCTGGGATCGGCAACCCAGTAACACCTGTGAATCAGTATCACCTTCACCTTGAAACTTTACTGCCACCTATGGCAAATGCCATAGTGAAGGGTGTTGTAGCTCTCTGTCACACATGAAAAGATTTTAAACCAGCAGAAACTATACAAGCTGGCCCGGGTGAGCTCTTCCAGTATATATCTAACTAACTCCGTGTATGAAGTTATCCTATGATTGAAGTACACTTTCCACTGAGGCTCTCAATGCTTGCTTAGTTGCCTCTTCTTTCATCTCTAAAGTCAGGTGGAGCTTGTGTAATGCAAATGGGGGATGGGGACCTTTCTTCCTCCTGTATTACTGCCCTCATTTGCTGCCGCTCTGCCTGAAGCCATTGATTCCGTCAGGCTCCGTTTCGGTGGCCTCTTCTCGGGTTCCGGGAGCTGGTGCGTTGTTTGAGACCCTGTCACTACGCTTGGAAGGTATTGAGCAGCGGCCAAGGGGAGCGCCGGACGTTTGTGTTTGTTCGGAGACAGCCGGCCGAGCCAGTTAGCTTTTCATCCCCCAACTCCCGGCTTTTTTTTTTTTTTTTTTTGGTTAAGACATTCCTCCCTCGTTTCTGGGAGAGAGCAGGGGGACTAATCCCACCTGGGGTCTCTCTGCGGAGAATTGAGTCGGGGCAGTCCGCAACTTCCCCAGCTGGAGGTCTCTATCTTCTCCGCATTTCGGGGAGCCCTGCTGCGCAGGGAACAGCACCGGCGTGTGCGCAGGTGTTGGAGTTGGGCCCGAGGCTCCCCTGTTGGTAGTGCCATCCTTTCCAAGGGTTTGAGGAGAGAGATTGGGGAGAGAAGGAAATCTGGGGTTTGTTTGGTTGAGAGGTCAGGGAAAG